TCGAGTCAGATTCAAAATTCGAACTGAACTCAAACCAGACTTTTAATTAGGTTCAAATTTTTGAACCAGACTTTTCGTCAGATTCGAGTCTGGTTCAAGCTCGAACTGAACCAGACTCGAACTGAACCAGACTTTTTTTTAGAACCCTAGCTGCAGGGATATGAGATCCATATTGAAAACATACAGGTAAATTGAGCTTTTCTTTTTGAATGTAATCCTCATAATACAAGTTCTTGAATTTGTTTTTTTAATCACATAATATTTGCAATCAAAACATCATGTTATTCATTTTTTGAGTTAGAGATAGACAAGGATGACTTGTTTGGTTTGAAATTTGGTTTTAGTAGAAGAGATTTTATTAAAAAGTCATTAATACTCCTTTTCCATTCACTAATCTTTAGACAAGCCTTTAGTGAGGATCAGAGAGAGATTATCAGGGATTCAGAGTTTTATATTGATTCAGGTTGTAAGTTCCTGATAATATTTTTGGCACTCTTGTGTTATGCTTATGAGTTTCTGTCAACACTAACATTTAGTCAATCCCTTTCAGTTGAATCTCTATCAGGAATTGTGATATTGAGTTTAATCAAATTTTGTTTGGAGGTATATATACTCATCCCAGGTAGTTACAGTGTTCTTTATTTGAATTTCTTCTTTATAAATCTGTACATTTTTAACTTTTAGTATTTCTTGAATTATATAGTGAGATATCTTTCTGAAATTCACTTCATCAATTGTCTTGATGGATATTTGAATTCTGATTCAAAGATCGTTAGAACGTCAACATAGAAAATTACAATTTTCTAATTGTTATTCTTCAATTTTGTACTCACTTTCAGATGACTCATCATTAGAGAGCTCAGAGTTGATAGTATCAGATTTGATAATAACTGGATTCTTCTGATCATGTATGTATTTAATAACAATTTTCACTTTTTGCTTATTTCATTCTAATATCATTATTTCCTTTTTAATATCAATATTAACATTTATCTTTTTTAACCAATTCATATCAACCAATATGCTGAATGTTCTTGTCTCAGTCATGTCAACTTTTGTTGGAATTATGATTTTATTAACTGTGATCAGAAAGTCATCAATTGTTTTGAGAGGTTACTTTAATAATCCGTTAATATTAGTTATAGTAATACATAACTTTTGTTGGATTTTAATATTGTGCTTCTTTAAGAAGTTGTGGCTGACTACACATCTTGAAGCTCTGATATCTAAAATAAGATCAATGAGTATTGTTCCAATTTTGTTTCACATCATGCTGAGGTAATTTTCTTAGTATGACTAACTAACTATTCCAGTAGTTCTTCTTGTTGTCTTTTTCTTGATAGATCATCTCATCCCCTTTGATATCTTTATTCATTGTTCTAAAGAGATCTTGATGAGTTGAATGATCATGATATTGGTCTTGGTAATGGTGAGATTATCAAGAATGTCGTAAGAAATGGTGCATGATGTTAATATAGGTAGTTCAACTTTGTTTTTCTTTTTCTTCTTTTTATCTTCGAGTTTATTTATCATCAGATTTTGGTCGACTGCAGATTTGTCATTTCGCTCAATAGTTTGATCTGAATCATCTTGGATATCATCTTTCCATTCCAATCTTGTTCATTTGTATTCTTCTACCGTATATTTATGTGTTATCAAAAGTGACAATGTCAACACATCAGGAACATTAGCTTGAGATGTTTAAGTTACCTATAAAATGATCATAAACATTTGAATCTGTGAAAGTAGTGTATTAGTATTGGTCAAATTGTTATTATTTGTAACTGGAGCTAGACTCAGGATCATTTTGTTTGATATAAAGAAATCATTACTTTCAAAGGTTGGATTTGTATTATAAGTTAGTTATCAGTTTGGTTGACTATTCATTTAGTAATTGTTATCATTAAGAGGATTCGTATAGTACTGTTGCATATGACCAGTCTGATCACATCAGTAGCAAGTTATTTGGCTTTTGTAATTCTATTGATTATAACTCTGATTATACATTCATGATGGATAGTTTGTCTTTCTTGCAATTTTCACTTGTTCTAATCTGTTGATTAGATTCTGAAGAATCTGATTTAGAATATTAAGATCGATGATAAGTGTTAATGGAAAGTCTTCATTGGTCTGTTGGTACTGACCTCTTTGACAATTTTGGTCACTTTGATGATATTATTCCACGTTCTGTTTGAATTTTTTATATGTACTCACTTTATAATATTTGGCTTGAGTTCTCTTTTGTAGATACGTGTCTTGTAGTCTACTGGATAATGCTCATTAAAATTAACTTTCTTCATAAGTTAAACAAACTGATTGGTATATTTTTTTATAGTTTTGTTTTGTTTTAGGATCTCCAGTTCCTCTTGCCATTGCTTTATTTTTCTATTCATCCAAAACTTTAAGATAAATCAATACTTAAAGTTATGTTCATTATTCTGTTGATTTATCTAATTATTCAATCAAAGATTATTATCAGTATTTTTTTGATCAAACCAGGTGACAACAGTTTCTTCAAGGTATCCTCTTATAATTTGGATTTCCTTTCGTCAGTGATCCCATTAGCTCAGGCAACAATTTTGAAATCTTGAAGCCACTCGACTGGATCTTGGTTTTCATTAAGGATGCTTGCCTAAATCCTTTCAGAAAAATATCGTTATAATTTTGACAGGTTACACACTAATTGTTAATTAGAATTTCAACATAATTTCAGTTATGACAGGTTTCAAAATTCGTCAGAATTTCGACAGGTTATTTACTAATAGTTTATTATAATTTCGACAGAATTTAGACAGTCACTAAGAGATTTCGGCAAGCAACCTTAGTTTTTATCTCAGAACTTCTTAATCAGAATGAGGATCTTTTTTGGTCATCAGACCAATTTAGCATTCATAACACCAGTAAGTTCTGCCAAGACTTGAATAAGATCATCCATATTATTTACTGTTTCATTATCTTCTTTATTTTTCAATTCTTGATTCTGAAACTCATCTGTTTCAGAATTTTTTTCACTTCATATGATGATTTGTTCATGACTTCTCTCACTACTAGCTTTTGTATTCAATTCTGTTTTACGGGTGACCTGCTGAGATAATTGAGAGAATCAAAGTAATACTCTTCTACCATTTTATGAATTTAGTTTTTCACAGAGAAAACATTAAGAATGTCACAAATTGATTGTGATTAGACGTAATCGATGATTTTACCTATAATAATGGGTTAGGGAGGAGTAATTAGACTGAGTTATACTTGATCATTTCTAATTCCCGTGTTGATATCTATAGATATTGTTTCAGTATAACGGTAGAGAGAGAGATTTAGTTGGATCAGTTTGTAGGTAAGATGTTTTTGGTTTTAAGTTTTATGTAACTGATTGTTGACAATGTTCTTCTTATTAACTTCCAATCATTGCTTTTTCTAGCTAAAAGTCTTAAACTGTTTAACACAAAGTGCTTTCAATCAATCAATATGCTGATTTAACAATATCAATGCCTTTTCTGGATCAAAGAACCTAACCACAATCAATTACAACAATTTTACAAGTATAATTTACTTGGAGAAAAATTGTACGCAATTTAATTCTGTTTTTTATTAACATCCGCGAGGACTATATATACATTTTTTTGATTACATTATTTCGGAACTCATTGCATAATGCATTCTATTATTTAAGAGAGAATTTAAAATAGAAAAAGAAATAGAAAATAAAAGCAAGATCTAAAGCGAAATTAAGATAGAAAACAAAAGCGAATTTAGGATAGAAATTAAAAGCGAATTTAAGATAGAAATTAAAAGCAAATTTAAGATAGAAAACAAAAGTGAAATAAAAATAGAATTTCAAAATCGAATTTAATTTAACGAAATCGGGCTAGACGGTTTTTACCAAAATCGAGAGATTGACGAATTTATTATTAACCCGGTAACAATATCCACCTATACCTGAGGATCTTGTGTCTCATGTTACCAGAAATTAGAAATTCGACTGCATGAAAGATTGTGATCACAAACGACCAAAAAGAGTATGCAAAATAGGAAGAGTTCAGTGTTGCAGAACAAATATCATAGCGTTTCTAAACATAGTTTTGTGTATCGTCGCATGTTAAACTTCTTTGTTGAAGGTGTAATATGAGTAACATGTCACAGCGCGCGAGCATAATTGTTTACGGAGAAATTTGGGACGTTTTTTGTTAAATATATAAGCTGGTTCTTTTTTTATTGTTACGTATCTCCAAGATTCCTATCTTGACGACTCGAAAAAAGTAAGTATAAAAAATAATTACTCGATTTTTCAAGTTTTACCATCTAATTAGTATCTTAATTCAAAGAAATGCCAGACCCTATAACAACAACTCTAGTTGGTGCATTCGTTAAGCATGAATGGAGCAAATACAACGATAGAAAAAAATATAAAAAAGAATTATACCGACTGGTTGATCGCTTACTCGCAAGACCCGCCTACGATATTAGCTTGAGGGAAGTAGAACAGTTATTAAACGAAATATATGAATACAATCCAGAAAAACCAGACGAATTTTATGGCCTTCGTAACCTTGAAAATTTATATAATCAAAAACGTAACGGAGGAAGAACCCAAGGATGCAAGAAGCAAAGAAGTTATTATTATTATTATTAGAAGACAAATAAATTATAGGAATAGTGATTTAATTTCTTAAATTTCCATGTATCTTCTCTTCTCTCCGAATAAATATAATCAAACTTTATTTATATTCAGTAAAACCTCAGTGCACACTCTATAAGTACACACTATAATCTTGTCACTTTCAAATTGACGTACAGTACCAATTCCCCAGTGGTCGCTTTCATTGATCTGCAACGAGATCTAACATGGAAAAATTATTTTTCTGCTCAAATATATGAATAATGGGTTATCATAATCTCTTAACCTTTTATTGATACTCTTTGAAATATACATCGTCATCCTGGATTTTACAGGTCCCTTACTGTGTTATTATCGATGAAGCCCATTTTCTCCGCAATCATCAATCACAGGGTGGTGGTTTGAATAACGGGATCGCATCTATGCCTTCGGATTCCATACCGTATTTTGCCAGCACTTCTCTTAGACTGCGATACGACGAAAACGCCCTCAATTTTTTTTGAGCGAACTCCACAAGAGTCGTAGCAGGCCCCACTTTAAACCTGCAATCCCTGAAATCTTGTTTGCTCAACTTGAGGAAATTATTTTGAAATCGTCTTCGTCAAGTTGCAAGTCTTCTTCCCCACGCAAAAATTCGATAAGATTTTCTGTGTCCAACTTTCTAACCACTTCGGCTAAAGTGGGATCCTGCTTTTCTTCGGTTGCATTATTAGAAGCGGGAGCTGGAGTTGACATTTTCGAGTTATATATGATTTTTTCGTGGAATGTTATTGGTAGACTGCGGAATGGTACACAAGAAAAAAGCGAAAAAACGATAAATGGGCAGGCATGGATATATGTGAGAAATGTATTCGGTTCCACAATGTCATGTACTACGTTACTTTTCGGCAGAAATTTTTCCGGGTGATCGCATGTGGTATACGTATCGATTAGAAAAAATTGATCCAAAATAACCACAAACTTGTTGAAAAAAGTAAAATATTTGTTTCGTTAGCCAAATAATAATAATGTACATGTAATGCATTTAAAAATAAAGTAAATTTTCCGAAGCCTTGGGATATTCCGCAGATCCTGGAAAAAATCCTCAATTAATGATCGACATATGTTACCCGTCACTTTTTTTCGCCATGGCTAGAATATTATTTTTCTGCACATCTGGAATGTGTGCCAGGTTCGTGCCGCAGCAATAAAATTACCCAAAAGTTGATATATAGTTAGGGTTAGTGTTAGAGTGGAGGTCAAGGTTATATGTAAAATTGCCTCACCGACACTTTTTATTAGTACTCCAAGTTAGATTTGAACATCTATTTCCCGTATTTTTCATTTTTTTGCGTCGGATTGTTTTGCCGGCTGATCAAAAATTTGCACATTCTTATTGGTCTGTGCCACCAGTAAATCGCATTCTTATTGGATTACGGCACGAACCTGGCACACATTCAGATTTCAGATTTGCTATTTTTCTCATCGTTAACGTCATCAAATAATTGTCACGTGACACAAACCTTCGGTGGTCGCCCTGACGGATTCGTAAACTTTGTCAAAAGCTCGTTCAGGTGCAACTGGTGAACCACTTTTCGTGGCAAGAATTTGCGAACTGGAGAATAATCAAGCAAAAGTAGACAAAATGGATACCGATTTCGAAGATGTTGTATTCTATAGTGAGACGTTATTTTTCCACATTCCACATTATCGTTTTGTTCGCGGAGACCCAGGCAACAACTTTATTTAAAGGTTCTCTGAGTGCTTTGGCCGAGACTTTAGACGAAAAATTCGAAAATGCGATTACATCGATTTTTAAATTGATCGACATCATATGTTTAAATTCTAGTTTCGCCGCCGGTCTCACAACCGACGCTTCTCACCGTATTAGTTAACGCATTCAGCTTTATCTCTTGGAACAAATAACAATATCATTTCCGCTGCCACTCCAAACCCAACACCTACTTATGAACTTATAAATTTAAGACTTATGTAGGCAATTTCCCACAAGGAGTTCGAACATGTATTTCTAAAATTATGGATTTTCACTAAGCAGATAATGAATATTTTATGTGTATATTTGATATATTTAAAGCTTTATCGCTAGAGGAAAAAACATCCGACAAAACCCGAACTTCTTTTCAAGAAAAATTTACCTAAACTCGCTCACCGTTAAAAATACTATATTTAAGAAATACGGAGATCACTTATACAAGTATATGAAATTACGCTCTCTCTTGTTTATTAATTGTCAACTTAATTGACATCGCATACTCTTTTCAAGCTTTAAAGCAGATTACGATGCTTGCCACGGCCCAACAGGTTAGCTTGAACTATCTTATGTGATTCGCAAGGTAAATTTTAAGCTATTTCTGATATTGTCACCATTATTATAAATATATTATAATTTATTGTTTTATCCTACATATTTTATAGCTTTTCAACTCATGCTGTATTATTCCCTTTTGATAATCAAAATTATACAATTTTTAATTTCTGGCGCGCAACGATTCATAATCTCGTGAAGAGCTTCGCACGGTCTTGCTAACGCAGTCGTTCCTAAGATGATATGAGAAATTAAGCGATATAAACTCGCAAGTCATGCTTTTCAAACCCTTAGCCAAATACACGGCATGCTCGTAATAGCCAGCTTAACAGGCTTTTATTGCAGTCTCGAGGTCAAAAGTAAGTTCGTTATCTGTCTATATTGACTCGATTTGTCTAAATTATTCATTTCACTATTAAAATTCGAGAAATCATAATTAAATTAAATTAAATTAATTAATAATGTTGTATGATCTACTGGTCGAGAAACACTAATGAGATTTTCAACATTATTTTAGATACTTAAAATACAAAGTATATTCGCAAACTAGGACCATTCGAGGTATATGAGATTGATTGCAACCAAACAATATATTATAACAAAAGATTCTAATTCATCAAAGAATTTTTAAGGTGGATCGAAATTTACGAAAATATGTCAAAGTGCTTTTGAACCACTCGCGCAATCTACAACTACTCTGTTTGCACGGGAAACCTCTTCATGCGTGGTCAATCGCCAAATAATAATCATTGTCTCCGGCTGTTATGCTTCCTTTTATCTGCAAACTTTCCCCTTTTTTGCAATTCGCAACTGCGGTGCAAGCAGAAGTCCCCTCGTTGATCCAAAGAAAAGACCATCACAGCTTATAAACCTCCATCAGTGCGAATTTTCATGTTGTTATTTGTCGATCAACCCAATTATCTAATACAATTTCTCAAACAAGTCTCGGAAAAAAAAATGAATTTTGAGTTTCACTCAAACTTATAGAATCATTCGGTAATAAACCTCTAAGTTTCCAAAACAAGAGGATACCGGGTCGCATGTTTCAAAGTAAGGACAGGAAAATGATGGTATTGAAGTAGGTGAGAAAAAGTCACACTATTAGAATTGTATTTGTCTGAAATATATCTCCATCCCGTAGTGAACATGAAAGATACAAAATGGTGAAAAAATGGAGCGCCTGGTTCTTTCTTTGTAGCTACAGAGATTTTCGAAACGGCGAATTTTGCGAGTATATATATCTATATAGGATAGCTGAAAAAATAGCTTTGTGGGATCTTATGGCCAATCTTTTAAGTTTGAAAATTTTATTGATCATATTTTATATGATCGTCCACATTAATTAATTAATTTATATTATATATATTTAGAGTATGGAATAAAGAAATATAAAATAAAGCGTTTTTTCATGGATTTTATGAGTAAATAAATTATACAAATACAAAACTCAATAATTATACATAATAACCCCTCCCCCCCCACATGCACACCATCGATCAGATCACCACGGCAAAGACTCTTTTCGCCGAACCGGACTAGCAATCTCATTAGGCGACAACGTGCCACTTGAATGCAGCGAGTTCCCATACACGCTTTCATACTCTCCACTTGGCCGCGGAGTATTCGAAAACGACGCCGATCTAGTTTCATACTCCAGACTAGGTCTCTGTTGCTGTTGTGGTGGAAACGTTGCCGATCGAGTAGCCAGCGGCGGCGCCACCATCTCTATCCCAATAATAGAATCAACATTAACTTTTAAGTTATTTCGTCGCCTACTAATTCTACTCTCCTCGAATTGTGCTCGTGCTCGTTCCTGTATATGTGATTCTATCTCGACGGAATATGAATAGTCTAGTGCGGTCCAGCCTGCAATGTTCTTCCCTGCAAATATTATACCACGTTCGATTAGGAGTGTTACTGCTTCGAAACGATTCCATGCAGCTGCGTAGTGTAGAGCAGTGTTCCCGTCGTAGTCTGTTTGATTTATGTCTGCTCCGTTGGCGAATAGCCACTATTATTAGAAGGAATTTAATTCAGAAGCGCTTCATTTAGATTTTTAGATTTATTCGTGTGTAAAATTTTACCTTCATTACGTCAATATATCCTCGCTGCGCTGCAAAGATCAAGGCTGTTTGTCCTTTTTTGTTTCTTATATGAATACAATCTGGAAAGAAATTTGTGTATATCTTCATGATCTAAATAAAATAAAAAGTTTAACGCAAAATAAAAATTACATTTTACAAAAGCAATTAAAAATTGAGACAAAAATTACCTCCAAATGATTATACTGCGATGCAATCATCAACACCGTGTTATTTTCGAAATCCTACATCCAAATTATATCATAATTTTTCAATCAATGATTAGTCCTTGTCACCAACTAAAACCTCTATAAATATACAATAAATCTCACGGATAATCATCCAAAAAACACACTTTTGATATTTCATGGTCCTCATGACCAGCATTCAACAGAAATTCAACGACATGTGCATGTCCACACCGGGCGGCATACATTAGCGTTGTCCTACCCATTTAAGAGAAATAATAACATCAGCAAAAGGTTACGATGTTATATTGCAAACAAAAGGCGTCTATCTCTACACACCTAATCAAAGTAAAACAAACCGATAAAAAAAAACATTGGATTGACAACTTACCAACCGTTGTCCGGGTCCGGATTTTGTATACTGGTTTTCAACATTAGTCGTTTGATAAGAAGTAGATTGCCATCACAAGCTGCTCTACGTAATCGTGCACGTTCTTCGACTGGCATGTTGCGCAAACGTTATGATAAAGATTTGTATTTTTGGTTGAGCCTTAAAGGAAGCAGTAGTACAAGGGAAAATTTCGAATTTTAAAGAAAGGGTAGTAGATAGTTCAAAAAAATATAAAAGCTGCCGCGAAAATTTATTGTCTAGTAATTAAAGAGTGTAGGAACGCGGCTAAAGAATGAGAGGTAATTACGATTATTTTTGCTACTATATAAAAATACCATAAATAGGGAAATTCTTAAAAATACGCTATCCCCAAATGGGTGAATAAGATCTTCATGTGATGCATACATGCATTATTACTTTTTGATTTCGAGTGTTATTGTTATATGCGGAAATTTATTGATTTTTAAATAATCCGCCCAAACGGTTATATTAATACAAATTAAATCGATTTTTTTCCCTTTTCAGTAATAGTCTGTCGCAAACATGCCATACTAATCAATATAGCTTCCTAAAAAAAAAAGAGATTAACTTGCATTACAAAAGGCAAAAAATAAAGATATAAACGAGACATCGAAAATTTATATTAACCTCAGTTCGTATTGTTCGACTTCCTTGATTTGGACATGTGTTAACCCATAGATCAAAAAGAGCATCCGCTTCTTCACCAGTACACGTTAGATCTTGATCAGAGTCAATTGCCACCTCGAGACCACCCAAACCACCAAAGACAACTAGCAGATGTCTATCTTGATAAAAGTTTGTTGTATGCAACAAAATTATTTGTGATTTTTGTGAAGTAAATGCATATTTGCCGCCTATACTTCAAATCCAATCAACATCTTGCCCCAAATACAACTACCATATTCAAATTTATTTCTCATTCATAGGCTCAAACTAATTAGACAATCGATGGCTTAATCCAAATTTTTTAATAGTATAGACGGCAAATACACGAACTACTATTATTGTACACACACCTGAATTCAGGTATTTGTTCTAAAGCCTGATCAATTGGATTTCCACGTTCAGATGTTCCAATAGTTACATCATATCCATCCTAAACCAAATTTATAAATAATACATCGTCGTAATGTCATGAAGTCCATTCCATAAAATTATATATCTATAAAGTATGCAAAATGATCGGCTTAATTACCGGATATGTACACTCTGTGAAAACCTTTGATATAGAGTCAGCCAATCGAATTTGATAGCCCCAATATAATCCCGATTCTTCACGCGGTGTCTTTGGTGAGACGACCTTGGCTTGAATATAATTATTATGAGCTATAAATGAGAACAATTGTTAGAACACTTTATGAATTCTTTTATTGATTTATTAATCTAACCACCTTTGTTGACATCATAGTTTCCCATATCTAGAGTAACCTGAATTCCTGGTTTTAACGAACGATCAATTTTCACATGCTATATATAAAGATACAGCATGTCATTCATTTATTTGGTCAGTATTTATTTTTTAATAATCATAAATTACATTATAACAATAATAATACAAACTTTTGTAAGGCCAGCATCAACTAAAGAACCTTGACCATCTTTAGGCAGTTTCTCTATTACTACACCTTCGCGATATGGACTTTTCTCTTCTTGCCGAAAGTGGTGTGAGCTGTCTAGTGGGTTGAGCAAACCTGTGTGTGTGTGTGTGTATATATAAAAGATTTATTCCCTATATAAATTAGATAACATATCTTTGACTTCGATAATTAAATGTTTTATAAAAGATACACACCGGCATATTTCAAGTCCTTATGCATGGGAAATAAAATTTTCCGTAGATATCTGAGCTTACACGATAAATCAATAGTTAAATACCAGATATACGTTTTTCTCATATAGATATCAAATGATGTCCTATTTCACTTACTGAGGTGTCTCCAGATACTGCAATACCCTAGCCAAAAAGATATTAGGATCATTCGACACATTATTATCCTCTTCGCCTCCTTTCTTTCTATTTTTTCCAATTTTGCCGGTGGTGGAAAGAGAATCATCACGTTTCGACTCATTAAATATAACAACTTCGTCTACGTTAAATATAGCTAAAGCACGTGCTATCTATTTATTATTATATGAGATAATTCAAAAAAATAAAGAGTTCAATGATAATACACACTTGTCCGGCTAAATAAGTTTTCAGCTCGGCGGACTGTGCATTCTCTATTATTGAGCCGGGGAACGCTACACTGACTGTGTATTTACGTCCGGTCTTTTGTGGAGTGACAATGTGACTTGGTTTTTGATTGTTTAGAGAGGAGGAGAATGTAATTGAACTCTCCTCATTGGTTGCGTTTCCCTTACTATTGTTTGTAGGACGGCTTGTTATAGTTTTTTCTATTTGAGTTCGTTTCCGCTGAAACATGCAATTTGAATGTTTGTTAAGATTTCTTCGGTAAAAAAGAACCATAAACTCGTAATGACAAACCTTCTTTGGCGATTTAACTTGAGACATTACGAAAGAGTGATGAGTGATTGACGTAAATTCTACATAAAATTTGTGCAACAGGTATAAATGTCACCACCCATCCATTTAGTGTTTTCTCTTTTCAAAAGGGTATAAATAGAGTTTTTGTCTAATAAATTTTTAGGTTTTCGGAATCCATATATAAACCCCCTCTTGAACCACACAATCTCTACAAACGCGCGTCTTTTGAAGAAATGTCAAATACCGCTGTGGTATGCGTGTTTTTGTTTTTATTTCAATGCAAAAACTTGGAAAAATAATTCTTTAAATCCACACGTAACGTACCACCCAAATCCACATTCCCACGTACTACGCACCTACCTACCTTTGCCGCCTAATCTTAAAGTCAGCCGTGTATAATGAGGTTATTAAGGATGTTATTGAGAATGTAAAGAAAGACTTTGAGGAGATGGGAGTTGATGAGTCTATACTGGAAGAACTTAGACGAGTATGTGTTCTTGTGTATTTTCAGCCTGGGGTCCTTTATTGGAAGTAAATTCACCTTTACAATCACTTATTAAAAATAATCTCTTTTTTTAATAATAATGTAATGATAATAATAGTCGTGGGAGCAAAAAGTTTCTAGTACCCGTAGTTGTGATAATTTTTGTCCATATACTGCTGATTCATCTTCTGACACAAATCCAGCTTATAATGGTGTACACAAGATACAGAAGGTATGTACAGCAACTATGTTAAAATATTCCCGCAATTTCAAAAACTATATTGAAAAAATCAAATTATTAATAGAATTCGGCAGATTATGAGATAGCAGCAAATTTAGCAACACTTGCTGGTGGTCAAATGATGAATTCAGACGGTGGTAATGGTAGAGGAAAACCTTATCCATACCTAGTAAGTTGATAATAATTTAAATCTAATAAAGATATGAATAACAAACAATCTTATAACATTTACGATAATAAATGTCAATAATAATGCAAAAAGATATCGAGTCCGAATAATAGTAACAATATTAATAATGGACATCATTATGTTTCGACAACTATCACTGACACTACTGCTGCTTTGGGAATGTCTAATGCCAGTCAAACAGGTATTAGGCGTGACATTTCTTCCGTGATATAGCTATTTATATTTTTACATAAAACGGAATGAGTTCATGCTTATTATATTTATTGTGTCGTAAAGTTACGACTGTGGACCAAAAGATGTTTATGGAACAAAAAGTTCACATTGACAAAAAGATTCATTACCAGCAGCAGGAGGTATTGTTATTTTTCATCCGATTAATTATGGTTCGAGCTTGCTCGATTCATTCTAACACCATAAATATTATTAGGAAACGTATGTGAGACAAGCTGCCGAAGAAGAACGAAAAAAACAAGAAAAAGAGCGACAATCGCGACAAATTGCACCTCGTGGTGCCGCTCCTCTCAATTACCCTATGAATAATCACATGACACCTGCTCATCTAACAGTTCAGCAGCAGCAACAATCCACACCGCCTATTCCAACAGCTACAACGACAACAACTCATGCATTGCCAGTAGATCAGTCGGTTGAGCCGGCTGCAAAGAAACGGAAGGTTTTTCGAGACGACGATCTAATTAATTCTGATCTTGATGACACGGACGAGGAAGAGGTGGATGCTGATGGCGAGGAGACATCGAATATCATTTTATGTTTGTACGATAAGGTATGAATGAATGATTGTATTTTTTACTATTTAATTGCATGATTGAATATCTCATCTTTATGTAATATGGCAGGTTACTCGTACAAAGAATAAATGGAAATGTCAGTTGAAAGATGGAATCATGTCTGTCGATGGAAAAGATTATCTTTTTCATAAGGGTAACGGGGATTTTGAATTCTAATATGTTAGGAAAAGTAAATACATATGCACCAAAAAACAATACAAGGAAACATCAGCCACCGTCAAACAGGGTCCCGATTTCCAAGACTCCATCTTAAAAAAAAAAAAAACATTCTCTGCTAGCCTCATCAATTTTATACATTATATATCCATTTACAAAAACACAAAAACCACTACATCTAAATAATAATAATAATAATATATAGATGATGATAATTAAGAATAATAATATTAATATCTTTTATGTTGTAGCTGTTCATTTTAGAAGTATGACATTTCATTAAAAATCAGCTTTTGATTAATGTGATCAAAAAAATGTCGCAAGCTCTCTTACAACAATCGTCAAAGCTCAATAAAGGCTCATATTGTTGTCTTTTTAACGCAAGCGTTTTGATATGCCACCGCTCCGTTATCCATAATTGCAAAAATTTTTCGACTTATGAATGCAAGGTTCAAAGCAACCTGCATCGGTGGTTAAATGTTGATGAATGAATCATCATGGTTAATATAGAATTATACGTATGTGCATGAATTGTGGGATGTTGGATTGCATTTAATTGATTCGCTGTTAATTGTCACTTGATTTTATTCCAGGACACATTCTGAATGTTATGTATATATTTTAAGCTTATCCGATTCATAAATCTTTATTCGCTAAATCTAAATGAAATTAATAAAACTCAACCAAATTTATATATAATAATATTTATTATTTACAGTAATGATAACAAAAGAAGAATAAGAATAATCAAAAAAAAATAAAATAATTCACCACCTCCTTTTTTATATAATAATATAACCAAAAATAATTTGATACAAAATTGTGTCGTTGTGGTGAACATTTGAGGATTTATTGTGATGAATATATTTGATGATTATATTTGAGGATTAAAGCGATTGAATAAAATATAATAGTATAAAGTTTGGATTATGACGATAATCATTGTAATTGAGGGTAAGATGATGTTTGTTGTGGTGGTAAATCGGGTACCATCTCAAATTCAATTGAGTTAGGATGTGGATCTACTAATGATAATTGTGGAATGTTCTGTGGATCAATTCGTTCTCCCAACGCATTAAAATTAATTATTTGAGAGTCGTAGTAAGAACGATTATGTTGTTGATTTTGTAATTGTTGATTTTGCAATTGCTGCTGTTGTTGAAGCATCTGTTGTTGTTGCTGCTGCTGCTGCAACTGTAATAATTGCTGTTGCTGTTGCTGCTGTTGTTGTTGTTGTTGAATTATATATTGCTGCGAAGATACCCCTTGCATATTTGGAAACGCACCAAATTGCTGTTCAGTAGTATTACTTTGTAGAATTCCTCCTCCGTTAGGGAAATTACCAAATGACCCACCAGCCATAGTTGCCGTTGTAGCTCCAAAAGAACCAGCTGACGTTCCCATGAATTGATTATTATTTTGACCTCCCAAGTACGACGATGGTGATGGGGATTGATTATTTTGTTGCATCATTAATTGTTGATTTCCTCCAAATCCGCTACCACCACCATTACCACTGCTGCTAGCGCCAAATATAGATGATGTTTGTTCCTGTTGCCGTTTCTTATTTTCAAAAATTCGTAAAGCTCCTCGTAAATCTTTGTTTATCTCATTGAATTGATTATCAAATTTACTTTGTAATTCACGAACTCCAGCTTGCTATTATGATAATATATCAATAAATTCAGAGAGAATATGTGTGTATATAGGTAGGTGTGTATGTGTGTGTGTGTGAGGAGTGTAATAATAAATAAAGATAATATTTTCCGTGTCCCACATATAAATCGAATTATATTAGATGAGATATGTCTATGTACGGTAAAGAAGAAGAAACATCGGAAGCCAAAAGTAAAAAAGTATATAAATAAGAAAAAACGAATTTATACATATTGTATCTCGCCACCGGGAATATTTCGTAGATTGTAGAATTCCAATCGTAGCTCTTCGGGTGAAAAATCCGTGCCTTCGATTAAATTCGGCTCTTCTTTTCCAGGAGCAAAAACCGAATAGGGATATTGAGGTCGGTCTTTGCTAAGATCCAATCTCACAGTTTTTTCTCTATAATTAAATGAATAATAATTAGATTAAAAAAAGTTCTTTTTAGTATTCAATAGAAAATAAATAATGAGCATGACATACTCGTATACGGGTGGTTGTTGATTTCTTCCTGAACTTCCAGTTGCTAATTATGTAGCAATATAAATATTTTGTTTGATGGTTAGATTCATTAATGAATTGAAGAGTTCGAAATTATCATTAATAGAATGTAGAGTTTCCCAAATGTAAAGACAAAAAAAGCTCTTGCTTACAGTATCCCAGTCGACTATATAACGAAGAACTTCCACCCCGATCATTGTTATTATAAGTGTGATATTGACCACCACTCGGTTGGCGATGTTCATTCTTGCATCTATTTCCAAAGTCACATCGGCCTTCCAGGTAATATTTGCAAATAGTCATTTTTTTCTTAATTATTATGGTACAAGTGAAAGCGCGAATTTAGATGTAATGGTAAAGTCAGATATGGAAAGATACAATGAGACTTGGGGGCGTTTTATAATGAATCAACGATTTTGTGTAGCCATATGTTATGATTTATTTTTAAAATGATAATTTACATATTGGATGCGCAGTTTCCGCAGAAATTTATAACGATAGGAATTCATCATCACTAATTGTTATCGGTAATGGGACTACTTCTCTCATCCAAATTTTTACTCGACGCACTGCTTGTGGTGGTTCATTAACGTTAGTTAATGGATCATCGGATGAATCAGAGTCGTTTCTTGTATTTTTATTATTTGTACTATCATTTTCCGCAGTAATAGGGTTTTTTCCTTTGTTTTTGTCTCGATCATCATCATCATTACTATTATCGTTATTATTTTTATTCTGATTCTTTGGAGAGTGATCTTCGTCAGAGAAATAATATTCTTGCGTGTTAGTTGTTATTTTTTCTATTTGTAAATTATCAGGAAATATCAATTCTTCAGGAATTTCATGTCCTTCTTTGGGTGTTGACGTTTTCATGGGTTTAATGTCATGATGCCAGTTACCATTTTTGTCATTGTCGATATCCAAGTATGATGGCAAATCGAAATCCGTCTTTTCTCCGGTTTTTGAAACAATAGATGATGATTCAACGTCGAAAGTATCTTTTAATTTCTATTTTATATATAAATAAATTATCAGTTCTATTTTAAATTTTATTTAAATTATAAGTATTACCTTCTTCGTTTTTTCCTTGTATTTAATATTCTTATTAATATTGGAATTAACAGTTGAACTAGATGGTTTGGTGATAGCCTTTGTCGTAGTTTTTTCACTTGCCGAATCAAATTCACATTGATTTGACGATATTGTCGAAGAAGAGACCTTGTGAATCTTGTTTTGTGCCCAGTTAGTCTTATCTTGTAATGCTTGACGTTTTTGACCATTATTGTTGTTTCCATTGTCTAAGGTGACGATATCGCCTTCGTCATCTTCTACGATGCTACTAAAAAGTTTATGATCAATAGTGTTTTTTGATAACTCTTTTGATGCGTGATGAACTTCTTCGAAGAGAGCATCTAATTCGGATTGATTTTTGTCTCTTGTCTTTGATTTGTTGTGTCGTTGGTTTAATTTATTGAAATCATAGTCAAAGACTAAATCATCATCGTCTTTTTCTTGTGCTTCTAGTGTCGTTTTTCGTGTCTTATGTTGCGCTTGCACTATTATATAGAAACATATGTAATCAAATGTAGTTAGTATGTGTATTTATCTATGACAAGTAAAATAGTATAAGACAAAAGTGACCTTTTTTGGTCCTTGTCTTCGGTTCTTCATCATTACCACTGGTTGTCGTCGATTCCTTTGATTTTTTACAGCTGTTTCTTTTATTCTTATTGGTGCTCTTTGAGGATAATTTGGTGGTTGTAGACATCTTTTCACTTTCTATTTTTGTTGTCATAAAATATATCGATATATAAAAGGAAAAGTTAATCATTCTTAATTAAACATATATCAGTGATATCAGCTCGATCATATCATTAAAGACTTTATGAGTTTTAAAGGACAAATTTTCGTATGGATGTTCTCTTTATAAAAGCTTGATCCTTGTATAATTTCTATAGTTATTTACCGACGGATCATTTTTTCATGAAATTACTCATCTAAATTACACACTATCTTAAAAGATGTAATGGTGCATAATAGATATTTGGTAAATATAGAGAGTAAAAATACAGTAGAAAAGATTTCAATAGAAAAGGGATCTTCGGGGAACTCTTACGATACATCTTACCAAATGTCAATCAAATAATGCAAGACACAAAGGTTTTTATTATTACATTAAATAGATTCGAAATAAAAACCGTATGAAATCCCAAAAGAGAAAGAGTATGCAAACGAGTAAACAAATATTTACAATTTTACCAAAATTGCTGTTGGCCAACACTTCATCAGTTATCATAACACGGCACGAGTTTGGTTTTCTCTCTCTTCAATCTCTAAATCTTCACTTTCCAACAAATAATCAATATCTCCAACTCGCCAGTTCCATCCAAGTGATATCAAATTATCTTCATTGTTATTATTATTATTATTCATATTATTATTAATATTGTTATTACTGTTCTTATTCTTACTATCATTACTATTATAATAATCGACATCCGATGCATCTTTTCTCATTTCCATTATACGCTCTGACGGTTCAAAGTACGGACTCTCAAATCGCACGACGAGTATACGTCGACACTGATCAAAGATCAACACTTCATCTTTTGCCGATTTCAGCGTATATATGACATCCACATCAAATGCCACGTCGACCTTGAATCCGATACCCTCAACTACACTTTTAGCCAACTTATTTCGAAAGTAATTCCAATTTCCTTCTTCATTACCCTGTCTCACGCCTATTTTTAGTGTCATAAAATGTAACACATCGAATTCGGCACTTTTACGTGCGAATGCTTGTCGTGGACCCATGGTGAGCCAAACATCTTGAATATGGGAATCGTGAATCTTTGGTATTTTAATTGAGACTGTTGATTTTTCTGCCTCTAAATTGTCCAATTCAGTAGAGAAACGATCAAATAATCTGGTTGTGAACATTTGTTCTAATCCTTTTCTGTCTGGTGGACTGGATAATGCTTTACACACTTGTATTAATCCTAAACTGGCTAATTCATACGATTGATTTACCGAGATATCAACATCATGAAAAAATAAATAATATTTGAGGCATGATTTGAAATTGATACATACCACCTATCATAAATTCGTCTGGGAAATATGAAGGTGACGTGCTATCTTTTAATGTTCGAACAGTTATCCATCGAGCTACATTATAATTTAAATAAAATGGCATTACAGATAATAAAGAAGTCCAAAAATTCGGGGGTTTATATGGATACTGTTTTATTCGTTGTGGATGTTTTCCATTTTCTGGTGATACATTATGAACCCATGCTAGATGCATTGACGAAAATGATAACATTTTAGCATTTGTTTTTACTATCTTACGTGAAAATAACGCGAAATAACCCACGAAATTTTATGGAATGTCCGGTTTTTTCTGGAGGCAGTAAAGTTTCAAGATACGGAACTCCGGGCGGAGGAGTGGGAATAGGATCTTGAGGTGGGCCTTCTATTTCTCCCTTGGTAGTTGTAAGGTTAGCTGTCCTTAGTACATGACCAGATGTAAGTATACACGTCTGTCTCAATAGTATAGTCTTTGATGAAATGCAACGGCGAAGGCAATTTGAAGGAATCAGTAGTTTCATTTCAAAACTTCGAAGGTATATCTGATATTGATAATCTACTCTTTATTTAGATCGCCAACCAATCAAATGCACATCTCGCAATAGTAGAATCTGTGCTCGGTTCCTGATCACGGGATAATGTTCCGGGCTCATTGGTTTGTGGAGTTTAGATTGGAGCATTAAATAAAAATGTCAAGAAGACAATCTTAATTCTAAAATCAATCTTTAAGTATCGGTATGGTGCATCCAGCTTAGTCACATTAAAGATGCTGAAAATTTTGCAGATCATTACTTATAAAATTGAATATGATTAATCAAATTCATTATAAATGAGATTATTTTTTTTATATTATTGTAATTTGATATTTTATGAAAATAATCATTCCAAATGATCATTCAGTCAAATTTCTCTATAGACATATTTGTTTATAGTCACATCTTTTTATAGTTATATCAGATAATTTCAGAAATACAGTCTGATACAGATCCAAAGATCTATGCAAAACTTTGAATCTGGTAATAATCAGTAAAAAATAAAATTAAAAATTCTGCACAGAAATTTATTAAGTTATCAATCTGCACAAAACTTTGATACAATCAAATTCCTCTATAATCACATCTGTTTATAGTTATATCTTTTTATAATCACACTATTTTGCTTTTTTATTTATATATAAATATAGTAAATCTTTTTATAATTATCAACTTTTGCTTTTTTTAAGAATGATAACTATAGAGAAATTTGATTGTATATTTCTACAAAAAATTTCAAAATAATAAAATATATTGTATATATAATATATTACTTTAGATAATAATAAAAATAGTAATTTAAAATATAATAAAGAAATTTTATTATAAATAATTAATTACATAAAAATATTATATTAAATAGTTTTATTATAAAAAATAGCAATAATTTAATACAAAGTTTTTTAAAAGACTTTAAATTTAACAAATAACTATTTTTATATCTAATAATAACTTTATTTAGTTATTTAGAAAGATTTATTATATTAAAATTATTGAAATTATATTGCAAAATATATTATTATGGTATAAATATTTAATTTTTATTTTATTGATTAATTTATATTATAAATTTAATTAGTTAATTTATATTATAAATTTAATTGGATAGTATTTTATTATATTTTATTAAATAAAATTTGAGCTATTAATGATTGATTCTTATATAAGTAATCCAAGTAAATATAACAATCCAAATAATTCAAATAATGACAATGATAAAAGCTCTAAAATTAACTGTATAATAGCTAAATTAGATCTAATAATTTGTTATAAAAGCAATATATCTTAGCTAACTTTTAGATTTTATAATTCAAAAGATTCTATAGTTTCAAAGATTTTATAGTTTTATAGTTCTCAGAATCTCAAGAATAATAAATAATAATTAAAAACATATAATAAATTAATAATAAATTC